TCATAAGAGTTTGAAACACATATTCACTCAAAAAGATCTCAACATGCGTCATAAAAGGTGGATGGAACTCCTTAAAGACTATGATTATGATATCTTATATCATCCGGGTAAGGGCAATGTGGTGGCAGATGCTCTCAGCAGGAAAAATGTAGGTATCTTAACCCATTTGATGATTTCAGAATGCAAGCAAATTGGGGCCACACAACAGGTTCGACTTCAGGACCTGAAGAGAGTCGCATGTTTGGGCCATCTGACTGTCCAGCCCGAGTTAATACAGAGAATAAGGGAAGCCCAGTCAGTCGACCCTGCCCTAATAGCCCGTAAGAATGATACAGAATAGAGAGTGAGCTCAGAATTCCGAGTCTCTGTCGATGGTTACTCCAATTCCAGGACAGGGTGTGTGTCCCAGACAACAGTGAGTTAAAGAGAGACATCATAACAGAATCCCATAGCTTGAAGTTTGCCATGCATCCCGGAAGTACCAAAATGTACCAAAGCATGCGACCCCGGTTTTAGTGGAATAGGATGAAGAAGGACATAGCTGACTTTGTATCTAAATGCTTGGTATGTCAGCAGGTCAAGGCAGAGCATCAGTGCCCAGGCAGGTTATTTCAGCCTTTACCGATCCCGGAGTAGAAGTGGGAACATATCACCATGGACTTCATAACGGGATTACCCAAAGTATGTTCAGGACATGACGCCATCTGGGTAATTGTTGACCGGCTTACCAAGTCTTCCCACTTCTTAGCCATCAGGATGACCGATCCTTTGGATAAGTTGGCAAGAATGTATATCTGGGAAATAGTCAGGTTGCATGGAGTTCCAGTGACAGTGGTATCTGACAGGAACCCCAGGTTCACTTCTCAATTTTGGAGTAGGTTCCAGCAAGCCATGGGAACAAAGTTGTCTCTCAATACTGTCTTCCATCCTCAGACTGATGGACAATCAGAAAGGACAATTCGTACACTTGAGGATATGCTCCAAGCTTGTGTCCTTGACTCTGGGGGCCATTGAGATGACTATCTACCCCTGATAAAATTTGCCTACAACAACAGCTACCAAGCGAGCATTGGCATGGCTCCGTATGAGACGTTATATTGGCGCCCATACAGATCGCCGATTTGTTGGGAAGAAGTGGACGATAGAAAATTATTCGGCCCGGAATTGGTAAAGGAGACCACGTCTAAAATAGTTAAAATCAGAAAGAACATTCAGACGGCTCAGAGCAGGCAGAAGAGTTATGCGGACACCCGGAGGAGAGATTTAGCGTTTGAGAAAGGTGGCCGGGTGTTCCTTAATGTCACTCCTTTCAAGGGAATTAGTAGGTTCGGCAAGAAGGAGAAACTGAACCCCCGATTTATTGGACCATTTGAAGTCTTATACAAGATTGGTACTATCGCCTACAAACTAGCACTGCCTTCAGAGCTCTCCAAGGTCTACAATGTGTTCCATGCATCTATGTTACGTAAGTACAACCCAGACCCCTCTCATGTCTTGGCTCATGAACCACTTCCACTCAAAGAGAACTTATCTTATGAGGAAGTACCAGTTAGTATCACGGATCGAAAGAGCAAAATACTCCGTAACCGAAAAATATCATTTGTAAATGTCGTGTGGCAGAATCATACGCCAAGAGAGCTAGAATCAGAATTTAGAGTCCAGTATTCCCATTTGTTCGATCAAGAGTAAAAAATAAATTTAGGAGACCAAATTTCCTTAAGGGGGGAAGAGTTGTAACACCCCAAATTTTATTATTATTATTATTATTTTTATGAATATTAATTTGTTTTGTTTTAATTTTTTTTGTAAATTTATATGAATTAAATGATTATTTATTTAATAATATATAGTTTTAATTTAGTTTAATTTAATTAAATAGAAATAAAAATAATAATAATGATAAAAAGGGGTAAAATTATTTTTGGGATTTAATTGAAAATAATTTTGAGAAAAATGGGTGAAAAATTCGAATTCTAGGGGTGTTTTTAAAAAGAAAATCGAAAATCGGGGATCAAAACATAATTTAAAAAAATTGTATCACGTCAGCAACCCTGGCCAACCAGGACACGCCGCGTGGTAGAAACACTGATGCGGGAGGCCATGCGGAACGGAGCCACGTGGACGATCCGCGTGTGCACGATCGGAAGGCTGAGATTCGTTCCCGCGCGCACGGACGACCCAGATCAAACGCGCTTGCGGACGGCCCAGATTGCATGCGTGCGGAAGGTCGAGATTGAATCACGCACGGACAACCCATATTGCATCGCAATGGACGGTCCAGATTCATTTTCAATTTAATTACGATCGGACGGCTCAGATTAAATCGTGATGAACGGCTCAGATTAAAAAGGAAAGGTTATAAATAATCTCATCCACACCCAACCCCAAACCCTAGCCGCCAGAGCCCTCGTCGAAGAAGATAGCCCAGCCACCGGAGGAACCAACCGCCGTCACCCACCGCCGCACCGGAGCACTTTCCGGTCGCCAAACGAGGTAAAATTTTTTTTTTGGCTCGGATTTCGATGCTAAACTCGCCTATGGCCAAATCAGAGCCAAATCACTGCCTAATTGGCCGAAAAATGCCACCAAAGCCTAGCGGCGCCGCCGTGGGTTTCCTCGATTTTTGCATCCGATGAGCCTCTTTTCGATTCCCGTTCGATGTAATTTTTACACCACTGTGACCACCGTCATTTTCTTTACAGGTTGACTGGAGTAAAACACCAAACCACGACTTGAGCCTGAGAAACCACCGCACCCGAGAGCTCCGCAGCCGGTAAGTCGCGGTTTTCTGTATTTTTTTTGGTCCACCGAGGGCTCTACGTGTGCTTTATTATAGGAACCAATGCAAGTTTGACCGAATTCGGCCGAAAACGGCCAACTCGAGGTGGATCGCTGTCGCAAGCGGCAGTGCCTCGCCGAAACACGACGGAGCCGCCGTGCCGGAATTTCTAAAATTGGCCGAGAAGGCCCCGAGTCTGATTTGGAGTTTTTTGGGGACATGTGCAGGTACCAGAAGTGAGTTTCAGTTTCCGAGGAAAAATTCAAAGAATATAGGGACCGCCCATAGGCGCAATGAATAATCGGTCTTAGACTTCGAATCAAGTAAGGATCTCTCACCCTATTTTCTATCACGGCATTAAAACTTAATAAATGATAAAACGGTATTTTATGAATTAATAGATATGTATAATTAATTAAGGCTGCTAATGGGGCCCGAATCTGATATATTTTTGGTCAGTTGCTGTTTTAGTTATTTTACAGTTTTAAAGGCATTATAGTGTCTAATCTATTTATTTTATAGTTTTTTGAATGCATGAATCACTGTTTACTTCACTACTGCTTGATTTTGTGAATTCGATGATATGCCTGCATTGTTGGATGCTCGTTACTGGTTTAAATATTCATGATTATGTGAGAAACAGAAAACTAAGAAAAGAATAGAAAAAGTATGTGAATTGATAAGTGGATAAGTCGACAGCCTCACTAGATATCTTAGGAGATGGTGGACGAACTGGGTCCATAGGGAACCCTACCGGGAACGTTGTCTCTCATACCGAACGGGGTATGGAGACTTTAAATATTTTGGCGCTCATACCGGACGAGATATTGAGGTTTATGATTTTGGCATCCATATCGAACGGGGTATGGGGACGACCCTGGAGTTAAGTTATTAAGGTGAATGATTCACGTGTAGCGGGGACCTCTATGGATCTTCAT